CCGCCCGCCCCCCCGGCCCCGGCCGCGACCTCGCGCGCGCGCACTGAGGCGCCGCCGCCGCCGCCGCCGCCGCCGCCGCGGCTGCTGCTCCGGCTGCTGCAGGAGGCGGCGCTGGCTGGCGGCTGCGCTCGCTCCAGTCGGCGAGCGGAGCAGCGAGCGAGCGTGTGTGTGTTTTTTAAAGATGGCCGGAGCGGCGGCGGCGGTGGCCGCGGGAGCAGCAGCTGGAGCCGCCGCGGCAGCCGTGTCGGTGGCGGCTCCGGGCCGGGCCTCAGCGCCTCCGCCGCCTCCGCCGGTGTACTGTGTGTGCCGGCAGCCGTACGACGTGAACCGCTTCATGATCGAGTGCGATATCTGCAAGGACTGGTTCCACGGCAGGTAAATAAACCCCCTCCAGCCCCTCCGCCGCCGCCGTCGCCGGCCACGGGCCAACCGCCGCCGCCGCGCCGGCCGCCCGCGCCCCCCTCCGCCTGGCCGCCGCGCCGCGCCAGGCTCCGAGGGGCCCCGGCACCGAACCCCCGGCCCGGGCAGCGGGGCGCGCGGGGCCCCGAGCTCCCCGGGCGCCGGGCGGACAGAGGGGGGCTTGTGGGATCGCCCGGCCAGGAGAAGAGTCGCCACAACAAACGGGAACAAAGGGGGCCGGCCGAGAAGTTGGCAGGGGGAGACCTGGGCGAGGGGACGCGGCCGGGGCAGGCGCCGGCGGAGGCGGCGGGCGGAGCGCCGGCCCGGCCCGCCGCCCCTCGCCGCGCCCGCAGCCTGGCCGCCGCCCCGCCCGCCCGGGGCTCCGGCCCGGAGTCGCCGCCCGGCCGGCCGCCCTGCGCGGCCGGCCGCAGCGCCTTCCTTCCGGGCGGCGACCGGCTCGCCCCGGCTCTGGGTCTCCAGAAATTGCCATCACCCCTCCCCCCCGCGGTCCCCGTCGCGCCCCCTTCCCCGGTCTTTATCAAACTTCCTCGGCCGCGGGGCACTGGGACGGGGGCGTGGGCAGCGCCAGCCCGGCGGGGCTCCGAGGAGTAAACAGAGCAACAGATGAGGCACTCTCGGGGACTTAAAAGATGCCAGTCGGAAGTTTGGGGCCGGGGGTCCCGGGCAGGCCGGCAGGTCGGCTCGGACCGTGCCCCCCACCTACCACCCCAGCACACCCTGTCCTGGCGGGGGATGGAGCGGGTGGCGTGGACAGCGGGGCCCGGGGGGACAGCCTCCGGTCCCCAACCCCCCGCGTCGCCCCCGCGCCGCAGCTCAAACTTTACAAAGAGTGAAATTTCCCGTCGCCCGAGGGGCCGGCGACACCGCACGGCCGGGGGGCTCGCAGCCGGGGGCCCCGGTGCGGGCGAACTTTCGCCGGCCGGTGGGCACTTTGGGGCGGGTGGCGGGGGCGGCGAGCGTCGCCCTGTGCCTCCGCAGGCGCCTGCGTTTCGGATTTGACGTTTGTGAGAGCTCGGGCCGCCTCCGCCGCCGAGCCGTCGACTCGTGTGTTTTGTAATCAAAGTGTGAGGCTAATAAAGGGCGGCGCCACAGCCTCTTGACTCCGGCGTGGGAGGGATTCGCAGGCATTTAAACAAAGAAACTAGTTGGGGTTGGGCTCCCAAAGTCCTTATTTGGGTGTTGTGGCAAAGCTTGCGGTCACCTTTAGGTGAAGCAGGTTACGCGAGCACCGTTTGGTGTTGTATCTTGGCGAGAGTACGCTCACGGCTAATAGCAGATATGGTGACTGTGATTGTAGGAAGTGTCCTTTGATTGACAGCAGGACATTTAAATACAGCCTCCGCTCCCCCCTCCCCAATTTTACAGAAACACTACACGACCAGGCCAGATGTCTTAGTCTCCCTCTACTGGCCCTGGGAGAGAAAACCACTTAGGTTACAGCGTTCTTTTCAGTGTTCAGTGCTCGGTACATTTAGTTTTACTTAATCTTCAAGTAGTTTTATTTAATCAGCTTGCACAATTCTGACAGCAACAGCAGCGGAAAAAAAAAAAACCCACCCAAAAATTGCCACTGTGAAAGAGAGACGGCGTCTTAATTTTGTGTATCAGGTAATTTTTCACAGTCTGGTCTATGCTTGGGGAATATTATTAGAACTTTGCTACACGTAATTAAGAATAAATTATCTAAAGTTCTTTTTTATTACTCCAAATAGATTTTTCCCCCTGTATTTTGATTACATGTAAAACTGAAATTTGAACGTACCAAATCTTGCCAGTTCTATTTCTATATCCACTGTTCCCATAATATATCCTACGAAACCGGAGTAGATTATCCAAAAATCTAGGTTACATATAGAATAAAACCAGAATCTCTGGTGATTATGTAAATACTCTTTTTTTCAAAGAACAGTTTTAGCTGCATAAGAGGCTTGTTCTGTGGTGCAATGTAGATATGTCCCTCAATTTTAGACTAGATTTTATTTACCTTAATTTAGGTAATTTAACACTGTGACCGTGAAAAACTGCAGGTAGTTTATGGAAAGTTTGGTAATACATTGACGTATAAATTAGAAAACAGAAGGAAGTTTGAAGGGAAAATAAAGAGGGCATATATGAAGGAGGGAGAGTGAGGCCAAAGCAAGTCGGCTCTACTTTATCACGTCGATTTGTGTGACTTCATATCGGTGCAAGGGCCCGAGGCACGTGTTTTTTTGACCAGCAGTTCTTGAGAATTTAATGTTGTTCAGATGTCAGAAGTTAGACAATTTACTAATAATGCCCTGTCATGCAAAAGCAGTATCTTCTTATCAAATTTCTTAATGAAGTATGAGTAATTTGGGTAGCTTTAGAGAAAGTAGTGCTTATGCTACCATCAAGGTATAGTTTGAATCTCCACGCTCGCTTTCCGTTGGGGTTTGGGGGGGGGGTCCTTCTGCAGAGAAGGGAGGGGGGAAGAGGAGCTCTGCGAGAGACAATTACCATTACGGCGTAATTTCTTGATGGTTTTATTACTTCAAGTACAAGAATTTTTTTAAACTCGAGTCAGTGCATTTTGGTATGAATTTGAGTTTACTCTCTCTCTCTGCAGTTTTTGACATCTGGAAGTCTGAAAAGTTTTTGCCTTCATTTAACCTGACAGGGAAGGAGGGGTTCTTCTTTGCTGCTTTTTGGCCAGGCAGCAGAGTGAAGGGGACCCGCTGCCTCCAGGTTTGAGGCTGTTGAGTTTTGGGTGTTCAGGAATTCCTATCGGTCAGTCTCCCTAAGGCTCCTTTCTGGGTGGGAGGGGAGAAGAACACTTGCCAGGGTACAGTGTGTAATTGATAGGTTAAGGACACTGAGCCGAGGAACTAACAGGATTTTCCTTGGACGGTTCCTTCCAACCTAGACAGGGAGTTCTTCCTCTCTGGGCCCTAGGTGGAAGTAAGACAATGGAGAGCTTTCCTGATAATATCCCACCCCCTAATCTCTAGGCTTGAGGTCTTTCCTTTGTACTCTTTTTTTTTTTTTTTTAAGATTTTATTTATTTATTTGACAGAGAGAGACACAGCCAGAGAGGGAACACAAGCAGGGGGAGGGGGAGAGGGAGAAGCAGGCTTCTGCCAACCAGGGAGCCCAATGCGGGGCTTGATTCCAGGATCCTGGCATCATGACCTGAGCCGAAGGCAAACGCTTAACGACTGAGCCACCTGGGCACCCCTATTTCCTTAGTACTCTTATTATCATCCTCTACAAAACTGTATCACTGCCCTAATTAAATTGTGTTATAATGCCTTTTGTCTCCACATTTGAATGTAAAAACCTTTGTTTGCTAGTGTTTTTAGTCATATATTCTCTTTGATTGACAAAATTAATATAGAAAAAAATGGGAAGTACAGAAAAGTATTAAGAATATGAAAGTACCCATGTCTTCTAGGACTTACCACTACTTTAACACTTAATTAAGGTAAATGCATACATTTTATGCATTTCCTGCATTTCACTGTTAACCTAACTTCTAAACCATTGTGAGCATTTCTAATATTTCCTTAGAATAAATCACATGAATTAATACATGTAAAACATTTAGAAGATCTGGCACTTGTAGGTACTCAAGAAGAAATTTCCTTGAAGTAGAATTATTGGTCTCAGGGCTCAGATATTTCTAGCCTTCTGGTGCCTGTTGCCAGATTGTCCTCCGGAAAGGTTATCCTACTTTATACTCTCACCAGTAGTGCCCGCTTCTAGTTCCCTGCATCATCCCCAGTCTAAGGTATTATTAAACTCTCCCCCCAAAAACCAATCACTTTGCCAGTCTGCAGATAATGAGTATTGCCACCAAAAGACATACCCAAAACTGTTCACAGCAGTGCTGTTCATATCCTCCCCAAACTAGAGCATCCTAAATGTCATCAGCAGTAGACTGGAAAATTGTGGATCAGTTAATATTCATTAAGAAAAGAATGCGTGACCGATACATGCAGCAGCATGGGCAGGTATCACAGATACAAGGTTTGATTAAAGAAGCCAGGCACAACAGCGAATACCGTTTGAGTCTGCTTATACGAAGTTCAAGTACAGATCTAATTGGGTGAGAGAAGTTAGACTGGTCCTTACCTCTGGGGGGTATTTGCCAAGAGGAGGCCCAGTCAAGGGAGCTTCTGAAGTTCAGGAAATGTTCTATATCTTGATCTTGGGTGGTGGTTACATAATGTACGCAGATACAAAAACTCACTGAGGTGGATGTGCATTGGGGATTTTTAAAAAACTATTGTAATGGCTGAGGTGTACTTCAGAGTTTAAAAAATTAATAATTTACATCTCTCTCTCTCTGTCAAATAAATAATTAAAAAATTTACCGGTTTGGTAGCTGACATGTGATATTTTGTGATTTTGTTTCTTGTCCTGTTTTTTTTTTTTTTAAGATTTTATTTATTTATTTGACAGAGAGAGATCACAAGTAGACAGGCAGGCAGAGAGAGAGAGAGAGGGAAGCAGGCCCCCTGCTGAGCAGAGAGCCCGATGCGGGACTCGATCCCAGGACCCTGAGATCATGACCTGAGCCAAAGGCAGCGGCTTAACCCACTGAGCCACCCAGGCGCCCCTCTTGTCCTGTTTTTAATGGGATTGACTCTTGTGTTTATTGTTAGGTAGGATCTTGGCTTCCACCCAGAGTTTGCAGTGTGTGTGGCGCTGTTCTTGGTGCTAGAAATACAGCCCTGAACAAACCAGTCCTTGCTCTCTTGTAACTTATATTCTAGTGGGGGAAGATAGATAAATGTAGATGACACAAGAAAAGGAAATTGAGTTAGGAGGAAAGAAAGGCCTGGGGATAGTATAAGGCCACTTTCATATGGCGAGATTATGGAAGGCCTTGACAAGGACACATTTGAACACAAGATATTTTGGATTTTACTCAGGGAAAATGGTGTATTTTGAGTAGAGGAGTAAAGAATTTGACTTAACCTTTTACAAGGTTC